CCTAATGAAGAACATTAATTCTAGGACATGTGTGGCTGTAGTCACATTGCTACAAATTACTGGACTCTTTCCTTTATCTGTTTCCAAGAAAGTCTCCCCCTGTTAGTTAGGAAAAAAGAAAAATATGACGCCTTAGTTCTGGGTAGCATAAATTACACGCATCAATCAGAGAAAGCTTAAATTAAAATACACATTTGGCAAACAAATATGAATATGTTGATCTCATCTGTGAATCAAAATGATTTAGTGCCAGTGCTGACCCCCCACTGTTCAACATGAAGGTCACCGTGAGCAGCTTCTTTCTCATTGAGAAATGTTTTCGTGTCTTTTAAGGATACAATTTTATGTATGCCCTAATGTTCAATCTAACTAGTGATTCCTATGTAGAGGGACTGATTTATTTTATAAAGAAAATACAGGCTCATTTTTATTTATGTAATCCAAAACAGATAGCTAAATTAAAATGTAGGGGAAAAAATACAGTGGTTTATGGTTTCTAGGCTGAGGATTCTCCAATGTGTTTATGATATTTTCTAATCTAGCAGAATACTATTTGTGAAATGGAATGCTACACCTTTCCGATATTGAGTGATCATAAATCAGTCTATTCTTATCACCTATGGCATACATTCTTGGGGAAGGGATAACTACTTGAGAGATGCCCATTATATGGCAGACCTTAAGTAGAGATGATCTTGGGTCTTTCAGGTTGCCATGTCTCAAAAAATATCTGTAGGCAACACAGGCATATTGAGTAAGGAAGTGATCTCCCTGGACAGAAGCATGTTTTATGTTACAACATTTATTTTGAATATTCATGTTGTATTTTCTTGCTAAGATTTCATTCTCATAAGTACAAACCGTACAATGATCCTGTCTGTATTAAAGGGAAGTGTATGCAATGCCTGCCTTTGATAGTCAGGTTGCAACTCAATACTGAGAACCTTCACAGCTAAATGGAAGAAAGCAAATAAAAAACCAAGAAAAAAATGTACAACATGCACACTCTAGTCTGCAAAATTACCTGGGGAACTTGTTAAGTTACAGATTCCCAGGCCCTACTCCTCCAAATTCCAATTCATAGGTCTGAAATGAGGCACGAGATCTGCATTTCTCTTTAGTTTTCTAGGTATTTCCTATTAAATACTACTCAGAAGAAACTTTGAGTAAGACCACTAGAAAGATGAATAGGTGAAAGGAAGATCAAGTGATACAAAATTTTAGCAATATGACGAAAGATTATATCAAGAGATTAAATCCTGAGTTGGGATGAGCAATTTCTGCACAAACTGTCACTTTAGACAGCAGAAAGCATGCTTCTAGGGGGATGTATTATGACAGTTGTTTTACATTGTGGTGGTGGTTTTGTTTTGTTTTGTTTTGTTTTGTTTTGTTTGCTGGTGGGGGAAGGACAGGAGAAGTAAACATTATCAGAGAGGGGAGTTGCCCAGAATAAAGCACCTTTTAGCTGAACAGATTTGATCTGAAACATCTCAGATTTTTTTTTTCTTTAGAAAATTCCAATTTGAAATACTTAGTTTGCATTATCCTTATACTACTTGAACCAATTTTTGATTCAGGAAACATGATTACTATGTTTCTTGGGCAAATTCTCAGACTCAGATTTACATTCTAAGGTACTAATAAATAAGCATGGAAACTTCCAGAAGGAGGAAATCCACTGAAGCAGGGTGAAAGAATTATCATTATGTCTTAACCTATTTTAGGAGATGGAGGAAAATAGTTTTGTCTATTCCTTCTATGATGCAATTAAAAACACTGAAGTCTTCAGTAAAGTAAAATTATGTGACAAAAAATTTGATTGAGAAATATTGTGTCTTGAGGAGGGAAAAACCCCAAATCAATTTTGCATAGATCCATGTTGATTGTTAAGATGGCCAAGATGAATGGATTGGTTGTGCCACAGTCTGTTCATTTGGCTCAGATAGGCACTGCCAAGAGTAACTTGGGTACAGTTTTTCTCTGTGCTAATTAGAGTTGGTCAAATGGTCCTTTGACAAATTTCCTTCCCTAGATAGAATTTGAGAGGATATACAACAACAAAGGAATTATCGGGGGTGCCAATTATCTATAAGGTCATTTATAGTGGATCCAGAAATGAAGAACTTTGTCTCAAATTCTTAGAAATTTTACTCCCCAACTAATGCAACCCCATTAAAAGTTCCTTTTTAGTGGGCACACAACCAATACTGCATATGCTGATGGCATTTTCACATACAAATCTGATAGTTAGGCACGCCATTACCCAATTTACACATGCAAATGCAGTAATTGTGTGCACTGGGTGCTCAGGGAAACCTGGCACACACCCAAAATGGAGGCCTTTTCAAAGCATGGCCAACCTACCAAATTCTTTTTCCAAAGCAACTCACAGTACTGTCTTACCTATACAAAATTCTGTGGGATTCTGGGAGAAAAGATATATGCTTTGTGAATTTTCCTGAATGACTTAAACTTTTTATCTCTATTTGATTTGGACATGTTTAAAGTTCTCTTTCTTTTTCTTCAATTAATTGACTATAGACTTTCTCCCCTACGTAATAATCCACCATTTCATTTCTCTCTTTTAAAAAATCAACTCTAATTAGAAGGTACAAATTCTCTCATTATGACTTATTCTCATCTAGACCTTGAAATGAGAATGATTATGAATTGTTGTAATAAATGATTTGTGCTTTTAAAAGAATGGAGATTACTGTTTACAGCTATGTGCACATGAGTTTACTCCAAGATGCATTTGATTATTCTAATTTACTGTGCTGCTGCAGAAGCAGCCATTAACTATTTCCTGTTTCTTTGTTTATGTATATCAAATATTCTGGAGCCTCTTGACTACTCAGGCAGTACAATGCAGGCAAAGTAATTTAAGAAATATAAATAGGATTGAGTATATTTGTTTTGCCAGTGTTTCTCAGAGAGGGGAGGTCCAAGAGTCTGATATCAATCATGGCAATATTTTTAGATTAACCATTTGTAGGGAAAATCAGAGGAAGTATTTACCTCTGTTTACCAAAATTTGCCCAAAGTAGAGAAATATGGGATGTTTTGAGAGGAAAATTTTCAATAAGAAATTATTACTTGTGATTTATTCAGAAAATATTTACTATATGTTTATTACATTTGATACATTGTTTTAAGTATTCTTTATTTCCTTGCTCTCATCTGTTTCTCTGTACATTCTTATCTCTATCTGTCCCTGAATGAAAGGGATTCTCTGGGATTCCAGATTTCAGTCCTCAACCTTCTCTCCATTTTACTACTTCTTCATGAGAAGCTTCACTTTCATTTTCAACCTACATATCTTTCTCCAGACTAGACTTCTCTTCTAAATTCCAAATTTGTTTCCAGAAGCTTTTTACTCTTCCCATAGTAATGTTCAATGTACAGCAATCTTAACAGGTCCAAATAGGATTTATATCTTCCCTCTACTTCATGGTGGAATCATCTTTAGGTTCTCTCTGGTTCTTCAACCCACATATCCATCCTATTGGCCATTGAGTGTAGCAGTACTGCAATTCAAAATATTTCATCTTGAATATGTCCCCTCAGCTCTCTTCCTACTGCCTGCTTGAGTTCCGGATACTTGCTATGGTTTTATAATTGTCATTGTTCTCTCCCCTAGGCAACTCTATTCTCTCACTCTCTCACCAGGTTTGTTTTCTTAAAATGTACTATGATTACATGCTGTTTCACTTAGTGCCTTTCATTTCCCCCACCATATACATGCTAGAGTCCAAATTCCATTGTCGGCTGTGCCAGGTTCAGTTGCATTGAACCTGACTATCTGGTGTCATGAAAAAAAATTAAGTTTCATCCTGCAATGCAGCTGCTCATGCCATTTCCATCTATCAGTAAATTCCTCCCTCCTTATTAGCATTATCTTTCATTCTGTTGCTTTTATTCTCTTATCCTTCAAAGTTCACCTTAAATGCTTTCTTTTTTATGAAACTGTTATAGCACCCTCTCCAGCAATGGAACAAACTATGCTTTCTTCTCTGTAATGATACCACATTTTAACATTAATTATCTACCATTCTGCATAATAAATGTTGACAAATATTTACCTGTTTCCACATTAGATTATACACTTCTTAAATCAGTAATTATAATTTATGGATTGAACGTCAATGTCCCCCAGCCAAAGACCACCAAAAATACATTTACAGCGAAAGTTAACATTATTGCTGTTTCAAAGAAGAAGAAGAACCACCACGGGGCATGTTAAAATGTTGGAAATGTCTAGTTATATATAGTATTTAGGTTCAAATTAAGTGCTTTTAGGGAGTATTTAGGGAAGCAAAGTTTTGTTTTTGGATTTGGTGCTGACTTGAAGTGGAAGTAATTCTGACTGGCAATCCCAAAAGATCTAACTAGAAGTAAGAAAATATAGGCTGAAGTTAAAGCTATAATTGCTGAAGAATCAGTAGTCATATATATTAGCCATAATACGGGGTACTTGGTAATTTTTGTGGTTTAAAAATGTTCATGTTTTGGGCACCTGGGTGGCTCAGTGGGTTAAGCCTCTGCCTTCCACTCAGGTCATGGTTTCAGGGTCCCTCCCCTCAGCAGGGAGCCTGCTTCCCCATCATTCTCTGCCTGCCTCTCTGCCTACTTGTGATCTCTGTCTGTCAAATAAATAAATAAAATCTTTTTTTAAAAAAATGTTCACGTTTTGTTTGTGTTTAGACAAGATTATGACATGCTCTTGCTTTTGTCTTGATCCTTCCTGGTCCTGGTCAGATAAGTAACCTTATCTGATATTGGTGTTCTGTGAAATTATTTATGTTTAACTAGAGAACATTAATACCTGGTGTTGAAAATCAGGAGAGCTCCTAGCAACACCAGGACCTGATAATGCCAGGAAAGTTTTTAGCTGTCAGGAACTGCTTTTTTTCTTCAGTCCTCCTTTTTGACCAAGAGAAGGCAAATACAGAACGTGAGATATTAATCCATGATATTCACATTTTCTTCATTGCCAGGATTTTGCTGATCAAGATCAGGAGGATGTCCAGAGAGCATAATTGATTATTATACAAAGCTTAGTCCATCTTCTTCCTTTTTTAAAGGGATGAGTTGTTAAGTCACCCTCTGGAAAAATAGCTGTGCTATAGCACTTCAGATTCTGAATAAGATTTATCAGCTAACTGTAACACAATTACCACAGAAAAATGATTACTAGTTCCTTCTTACAGTCTTAAATCCAGGAATACAAATATTATAAAATCTATCCAGTGAAACATGTACAAGAATCCAACTGTGCATATTATTTTTCTTAGTCATTGGTTGTTTTACTTGCCTTGTAACTAAACATCAGGCAAAGAAGTATTTACTTTAGGATTCCTCTTCCTTGGCTAGCTAAAATAAAACCAATAGCTTTTGAGTTGTTCATGACAATGCTGGGTAATAAATTTAAAACTGTTGAGTTTCCAGAGCAGATTAGTGTCATTTAAGGTGTTTGCTAAGATCAGAGACTAGTTTTAGACTATTTATTACAGTCATATTATTCTTTTCTTTGAGATAATTAGAGCTCACAACGTTTCTAATAATTAGAATGAATGCATGGAGTAAGTGTGTAGCAAATGTATAAGTTTAATATTCATATCAGAAATAATATCCTGGGGCACCTGGGTGGCTCAGTGTAAAGCCTCTGCCTGCAGTTCAGGTCATGAACCCAGAGTTCTGGGATCGAGCTCCGCATCGGGGTCTCTGCTCAGAAGGGAGCCTGCTACCTCCTCTCTCTCTCTGCCTGCCTCTCTGCCTACTTGTGATCTTTGTCTGTCAAATAAATAAATAAAATATTAAAAAAAAAGAAGTAATATCCTACTGGGTCATGGACTATATTGAACGTAAGGTAATGTCTAGGATAACAGCAGTGAACCATTTGCTTTTCTCAAGCGTGTAAGATTTTTTGCCTGGAGTTAAATAGTTCCTTCAAAGCAGGCCAGAGTTTCAATGAGCAAACTACTATATTAATAGTTAATATAATATAATATAATATAATATAAATTATATTAAGGATAACCCCAATATTAATTTTTACTTCTAATGGGCTAGATTTTGCTGATAGGATTTTAATAACTTCAGCAGGAGCTTTTCGTTAACATGAGGTCAAGGTTCAATTTTTATAAGCCTGAAAGGTTGGAATTAAATTAAAAGGTTGGAATTAAATATAAGCCTGGGTGACTCGGTTGGATAAACCTCTGTGTCTGGATTTTGGCTCCGGTCATGATCTCAGAGTCATGAGATAGAGCCTCCCCTCCACTCCTTTCATCCCCACACCCACCCCAGGGCTCCTGGATCAACATAGAGTCTACTTATCCCTCTCCCTCTTCCCCTCCTCCTGCTCACACATGTGCTCTCACAAAGTGCTCCCACTATCTATAAATAAATAAATAATAAATAATAAAATATTTAAAAAATAAAAATAAATTATGTGAGGCATGGTTAAGTATCAAAAGGGGACAGTAAAATAAAACCTATCTTCTAAACTGTTTAATAATTAATAATTATCAATTTTATTGGCAATAAGTCAAATTATAACAGTAGCTATTAATTTAGAAAAATATGCCAAAAAGGTTGGCTCCAATTTAAGTGGCAAAAGAACATAGGAAGTTAAAAGTAGCACAACAAAGATAAGGAAGACATATTTGAGAAATATTTTATTCAGTTAATAAATGATGTCAAGGTATACTAACAGGTGACATTAATGGTAGAGCAAACAGTAAGAAAAAGAGTGTTGAAGAATCAGAAAATTAATTTTATTTCATCGTTTTGCATGGAAGCTGTCTACTTCTGCAAACACTTGTTCCCAAATTTTGACAAGAATTGTCTATCTTCACAATTGTCAGAGAGAGTTCTCTGTTTAAGATCCCTTTATGGAATGGATGTTCAAAAGAAAGAAAGAAGTAATGTTGCTTTAAGTTAGTAAACATTACCCCAACTATCAACACCTTAGAGTTTCACTATTACATGAGTTGTTAATAATACCTTGTAATTTTTGTCAAGGTTCAAGGGAAGTTCATCTCTGGGGACTTTTTCAGAAAATCAAATCTGTAGATTTCAGATTATGCAGAGACTACTTAGGTGGATGTTTTAGAAATGCAGCTAATACCTTTGGTGACAAAGCCTTAGGAATCACATAAGTCTATTGCCTTTATTAGTCACATCAGCTTGAAATAGGGTAGAATCTACAATTACAAGTAATTCTTAAAATCATGAGCAGCCTATTATTAACCTAAAAGAGAACTTGTAGATCCTAGAGAGGACTGATCTTAGTACCACCAAAACTAATGACAGGACTCTGGGCTTGGAAGTTTAGTATATTATTCAATGTAAAATGCAGTATAACATAGAATAAATGTTATCATGTAACATTTAAAATAAAAAGCCCATTACTTTGTATATATATTTATTTCTATAACTATTGTACCTACTTTAAATAACCATGCATGTAGATTTTTATCTTTAATCAAAGCAATTATTTAGTTTTAAAAAAAGCAATCATTTTTTTCTCTCTAGACACAAGAGAAAACCACAGAAGAGAAAAATCTTGAAAGTGCTTATTTTTTCACATGAACAATTATTTAATAAGGCAAAAATGAACATCTATAATGTCATTCAAAATCATTTGCATATTTTGTTAATCTATTGCCACTATGAGAAATAAGAATAAATTAAACTTAGGTTCAGCTAATCAGTATTTGTATCTGTTGCTTATCTAGAAATTGTGCAAGCTTCCAAAGATTATTTATTAAATAATTTAATCATTTATCTAAGGTCTTAAACTTAGTTAAATAACTAGAAATTACTGACTTTAGCTAACATGTTAAGTTATAGTTTGTAAGGTGTAAGAATTTCATAACATTGAATCTTTAAAAAGCAATCTAGTGTCCATCAATAACTGAATGGATAAAGAAGGTGTGATACACACACACACACACACACACACACACACACACACACAGTGGACTATTACTTAGCCATAAAAAAGAATGAAATTAGGGTGCCTGGGTGGTTCAGTCAGTTAAGCGGCTGCCTTCAGCTCAGGTCATGATCCCAGGGTCCTGGGGTCAAGTCCCATATCGGGCTCCCTGCTCAACAGAGAGCCTGCTTCCCACTCTCCCTCTGCCTGCTGCTCTGCCTACTTGTACTCTCTATCTCTGTGTCAAATAAATAAAACTTAAAAAAAATGATATATTGCCATTTGCAACAACATGGTTGGACCTAGAGGGTATAATGCTAAATGAAATAAATCAGAGACAGAGACATATGCCATATGATTTTACTCATACATGGAATTTATGAAACAAACAAACAAATGAAGAAAAAAAGAGATGAACAAAAAAACCCTCCAGACTCTTAAATGCAGAAAACAAACTGGTAGTTGCCAAAGGGGAAGAGGGTGACAGGATGGGTGAAGTTTAAGAATACACTTATTGTAGGGTGCCTAGGTGGCTCAGTCAGTTAAGCATCTGCCTTGGCTCAGAATCCCTACTCAATGGGGAGCTCGCTTCTCCCTCTCCCTCTGCTGCTTCCCCTTGCCTGTGCGTGCCCTCTCTCTCTCAAGTAAAAAAATCTTTATTAAAAAAGAGAACACACTTATTATGATGAACTCTGAATAATGTATAGAATTATTGAATTATTATATTGGTACATCTGAAACTAATACAACAATGTAGATTGATTTAATTCAATAAAAAGTTATTCATCATTATCATTTGATTTAGTTGAATATAATTATATGCATATAATTTTAAATTTTGACCAAGTTATGGAAAGAGTGGTAATCTACTTAATTCACCAAACTAATGTAAGATATTTAAGAAGGTTAAATCATGAGAAATTTACTGTGGTGATATCATACATATACAGTGACCTAGTTTTTAAAGTCTTTGAATTATGCTAAAACATATCTTTTGTTTTAGAACTAAAGCTTTTTCTTATCTTGTATCTACAAAGGCTACTATGTAAATATGCCTAAAGAGAAACACAAAACAGACACAAAAAGAAACACAACTTAATAACTAATTTCTACTTTCCTTTGGACATTTTATTTTAGACTATTTATGTGGACTAAATATTCTTGAGAGGACACTTAAATGATTTAAAAAAATTTTATATCAATTCATCTTTAATGTTTCCTCAGGAGAAAAAAAAGGGGGAAAGGCATAGATAACAAATAAAAGAGAGTCAGCTTCATAAAAATATGAAATTATTAGTGTAAAAATACTTGTATGACATAATTGTCAATGTAGAAAAAAACAAAGACGCAACAACAGTAAAAATTCCTGGAACTCATCAGCAATTATAGCAAAGTTACAAGATAGAAGATTAATATGCAAAAGCAATTATGTTCCCTCTATGAGAGGGAAGAAAGTTTAAATGTAGAAAAACAACCTAACATATGTATACACTAAGGAGAGTGGCAGAAAGCTGATTTAGACATAGTTTGTGGTTTTGACTATTTTATCAACATTTGCAATTAAAAAGCCTGCATTTATTAGTTCCAGAAATAAAAACAAACAAACAAAAAAACCCACAGAAAAGGATACATCTCCTCTGTTAAACAAAGTAATCTTTTAAGCAAATAAAACAACTTCCTCATGAAGATGCCTTTGCTTTTTGTTCTAAACTAATTTTGGTTTAATAATCTTCCCTGTCAAAAACTCCCTGAAATGGCCACTGAAATTCCAAATTATCCCTGATGTTATTGTGTCTCCTAGAAAGAGAAGAATATCAGTTAACATCACTATGAGAAAACATGGAGGAACCAGGTGTTTGACCTGGAAGAGAAAGAGTTTTAGACCAAGAGGACCCATCAGAACTGTAATGGTTCAAAACATCATGTCATCGAACAAAATCTCCAGATTTTGACCAAAGGCCAGCATCACCAATCAAGATCTGGACAAAACCTGAGTCTAGACACTTGAAACTGTAAAAGCAGTTCTCAGAGACACAAAGATAAGACTGAGGAAGAAGCCCGAGAGGGTTTTGAGATGGTGACCCACAGCAAAGT